TGGCCGATGAGTTGAGATGGAACATCCTGTGTATAAAACAAACTGACAGCTTTTTATTTTTTTATTTCTTCAATTTTATTTTAAGTTTGTCTGCGACAAATTGAACTTAAGTTATGATGATTAATGCAATTTTGTACTAATTTTCCAGTATTTCCTTTTATCAAAAAATAAAGGAACCTAAAAAACTTATCGACTTTACAAAATTATTCATTTAAATCAGACAAATAATTCAATAACTTTAATTTTAAACCTCAGCTTTATAAACACTTCTGATTCTATTAAACTTAAAATTATGAACAAAAAAAGCTATAGGGTCTTCAAAAATGTTATATACAGGATGTTTCATCTCAACGGAACTTTATCTATCAGTTCAGATGAAACACCCTGTATATAAAATATGACGAGTGCGTTTTATTCTTTTTTAGATTTCTCTATTTTAGTTTAAGTTTGTCGGCGATAAATTGAGGTTAAGTAATTTATGACGATTCATGCAATTTTGTAATAATTTTGGATTATTTGTTTTTATTAAAAAATAAAAGAAACTAAAATCTCAAATTAACAAAATTATTGATCTAAAGCATCTGAGTAAATAAATAATGTAAATTTTAAACCTTAGCTTCACAAACGCTTCTAATTTAATTAAACTTTACATTTTGAAAATAAAAGTTCTATGGAGTTCTCAAAAATGTTATATAGAGGATGTTTCTTCTGGTCAGTTGAGATGGAAAATTCTGTGTATAAAATACACTGACAGCTTTTCTTTTTTTTTAATTCGATATTTTATCTTAAGTTGTCTGCGACAAATTGAACTTAAGTTATGACGATTAATGCAATTTTGTAAAAATTTTCAAAAAATTTCCTTTTATCCAAAAATAAAGGTACCTAAAAAAACTTATAGACTTTACAAAATTATTCATTTAAATCAGACAAATAATTCAATAACTTCAATTTTAAACCTCAGCTTTATAAACACTTCTGATTCTATTAAACTTAAAATTATGAACAAAAAAAAAGCTATAGGGTTTTTAAAAATGTTATATACAAAATGTTTCATCTCAACGGAAATTTATCGATCAGTTCAGATGAAACATCCTGTATATAAAATATGAGGACTGCGTTTTATTCTTCTTTAGATTTCTCTATTTTAGTTTAAGCTTGTCGTCGATAAATTGAGGTTAAGTAATTTATGATGGTTAATAACATTTTTGTAACAATTTTCGAGTATTTCTTTTTATCAAAAAATAAAGAAAACTGAAAAACTTATCAAATTTACAAAATTGTCAATCTAAATCATACAAATAAATAAATAATGTAAATTTGAAACATAAGCCTTATCAACACTTCTGATTATATTAAATTTTAAATAATGAAAATAAAATGCTATAGGGTTTTTAAAAATGTCATATACAGGATGTTTCATCTCAACGAAACTTTGTCGATCAGTTGAGTTGAAACATCTTGTATATAAAATATGGTGATTGCTTTTTATTCTTTTCTAGATTTCAGTACTTTGGTTTAAGTTTTTTGGCAAGAAATTGAGGTTAATTAATTTTGATGATTAATGCAATTTTCGAATATTTCCTTTTTTAAAAATAAAGGAAACTAAAAAAATTTATGAAATTCACAAAATTATTCATCCAAATGACATAAATAAATAGAAAATGTAAATTTTAAACGTTAGCTTTATTAACACTTCTGATTTTATTAAACTTCAATTTATAAAAGTGAAAAAGCTATAGGGTTCTCGAAAATGATATATACAGGATGTTTCATCTCAACGGAACTTGTCGATTAGTTGAGTCGAAATATCCTGTATTTAAAATATGGTGATTGCATTTTACTCTTTTTTAGATTTCTTTATTTTACTTTAAGTATGTCCTCGATAAATTGAGGTTAAGTAATTCATGATGGTTAATAAAATTTTTGTAACAATTTTCGAGTATTTCTTTTTATCAAAAAATAAAGGAAAATGAAAAACTTATCAAATTTACAAAATTGTCCATCTAAATCATACAAATAAATAAATAATGTAAATTTTAAACATAAGCCTTATCAACACTTCTGTTTATATAAAATTTTAAATAATGAAAATAAAAAGCTATAGGGTTTTTAAAAATGTCATATACAGGATGTTTCATCTCAACGAAACTTTGTCGATCAGTTGAGTTGAAACATCTTGTATACAAAATATGGTGATTGGTTTTTATTCTTTTTTAGATTTCAGTACTTTAGTTTAAGTTTTTTTGCAAGAAATTGAGGTTAATTAACTTTGATGATTAATGCAATTCTCGAATATTTCCTTTTTCAAAAATAAAGCAAACTAAAAAAATTTATGAAATTCACAAAATTATTCATCCAAATGACATAAATAAATAGAAAATGTAAATTTTAAACGTTAGCTTTATTAACACTTCTGATTTTATTAAACTTCAATTTATAAAAATGAAAAAGCTATAGGGTTCTCGAAAATGATATATACAGGATGTTTCATCTCAACGGAACTTGTCGATTAGTTGAGTCGAAATATCCTGTATTTAAAATATGTTGATTGCGTTTTATTCTTTTTTAGATTTCTCTATTTTAGTTTAAGTTTGTCGTCGATAAATTGAGGTTAAGTAATTTATGATGGTTAATAGAATTTTTGTAACAATTTTCGAGTATTTCTTTTTATCAAAAAATATAGAAAACTGAAAAACTTATCAAATTTACAAAATTGTCAATCTAAATCATACAAATAAATAATGTAAATTTGAAAGATAAGCCTTATCAACACTTCTGATTATATTAAATTTTTGAATAATGAAAATAAAAAGCTATAGGGTTTTTGAAAATGTCATATACACGATGTTTCATCTCAACGAAACTTTGTCGATCAGTTGAGTTGAAACATCCTGTATATAAAATATGGTGATTGCTTTTTATCTTTTTTAGATTTCTTTACTTTAGTTTAAGTTTGTTGGCAAGAAACTGAGGTTAATTAATTTTGATGATTAATGCAATTTTCAAATATTTCCTTTTTCAAAAATAAAGGAAACTAAAAAAAATTATGAAATTCACAAAATTATTCATCCAAATGACATAAATAAATAGAAAATGTAAAGTTTAAACGTTAGCTTTATTAACATTTCTGATTTTATTAAACTTCAAATAATGAAAATAAAAGAGCTATAGGGCTCCCAAAAATGATCAGATGAGATGAAACATCCTGTATATAAAATATACTGATTGCGTTTTATACTTCAATATCTTATTTGTAATTTGTAGGCAACAAATTGAGGTTAATTAAGTTTAGTAATTAGTGTGTAATAATTTTCGAATAATTCCTTTTATCAAAAACTAAATTTACATACTTATTTTATCAAAGGACATGAATAAATAAATAATGTAAATTTTAAACCACAGCTTTATAAACACTATGAAAATAAATTTGCTATGAAGTTCACAAAAATATTGTATACAGGATGTTTTATCACATTGGAACTTTTCAGATGAGATTCTGTATGTGAAAAATATACTGACTGCGTTTTTTTAAATTCTTTATTTTATTTTATGTTTGTCATCAATAAATTGAAGTTAATTAATTTAGGAACATTAATGTAATTGTCTAGTAATTTTAGAGAAAATAAAGGAAATTAAAAGCTCAAATAAATAAATAAAATTACAATAAATTACGCAACAAAATTCTCATATAAGTAGAAATGGATAATTAATTTTCAATTATGTTGGATACTTTGTAGCCATATAAATTTATAAAAAAATCACTATTATAACTCTGTTCGTATAGTTACCACTGTTTTAGATTTTGTTGAAATCTTTTTTGTAAATTTTGCTTCCTAGTAACGAATTCATGACTGATAAGTAGAGATGAAACACCCTGTATATAAAATAGTGCCCTCTGATCTTGATAGGCTACCAGATTTAAAGCCGCAAGAAAAGTTTAAAAAGAAACACAAATTTAAATTTATATTATTTTAATTACTTTCAATATTTAATTTGTGACAATTTATTTTAATCCAGATTTATGAAAGAATAAACATTTCTTTGTTATGGTGTGTTTTTTTGCGGTGTATTTTGTTTGTTTCAAGGATTCTGCATATTTTATGGGATTATTCAAAATTTAAACACGACGTTAGAGATGTTTTTATTTTTAACATTTTTTTCCTCAAAATTCCTGAAACGTTAAATATAATTTAATGTGGGTTTTTCTTGGACAGTTATGCACAAATCCAGCAAAAAACGAAAATGTAAATTTCCCGGGTACGTTTGTCTGTCCGTTAATAATTTTATTGGACAGAAAACCCCAAAGCTACCAAACCGATCACTTTGAACTTTTAAATGCGTCACTTCAAGACTATCCTGTGAATGGTAAAACGCCATTTAAAATTCATTCAACCCCTCCAAAATCTGATGACGTCACTCGCAAAATTTTCACACACCTAGGTATATTTTTTTAGACAATTGTTTGTTTTTTTACATATTTTTTGCATCTGTTTTTACAATGTTAGAAGACGTTTTGCTCCTTCACACGTAGCTTCAACAGGTTTTCGATTTCATTAAAATTGACTTTTTTTAATCCTGCAAGGATTTCCCTAAATGACTTAATTATTTAAAAAGGAAGTCATTAAACAATTAGTTGATAATTCATGCATGAAATACCCACACCGAGAAACAAATTTGTTTAAACTTTATTTTAATAATTATTATTTGTTAAAAACGATTTATAAAATTCCACAAAAATAAAACAAGATTGTAAGTTTGAGTTCGTGTGTGTTAAAATTGATCCAAACTAATTATTATCCGAAAAAACCACTTTTCAAATAACACTCAAAATACTTAATTCCGTACCGTTTGTCCAAAATCCAAGGCTACCAATTCAATTATCTCTAAATAAAAAAAAATCACTACGTATCAAAAGTGCGAACTCTTCCTCGTTATAACAACTACTTAATTAATAACACAGTCTCTCCAAAATCCACTTTTTCCTTTTCGGAAGCACTCACCAGGACAGCAATCCCGAAAGGACCAGCACCGCCGGTACGCCCCTCGCCATCCTTGCAGCATCTCGTCCGGGTTATCCTTGGTGGACGCGCGTCGTCGGCATCGTCCGGAGGCGGAAGCGGCGGCAGCGGCGGCGCGACTAACTCGCCATCACCGACAAACGAGAACAAGAGACGGCGGCACTTTGACTAATAATCGCTGTCAGAACGAAGACGTAGAGATGGGGTGCGGAGACTCGCGCAGTTCGTGGGGTGCCACGGGAGGGGTACGGCACCTGGGGCCGGGGGCCGACAAAGCGAGTGGGGGACCTCTAATTACTACCTCCATTGATTACGCCGCCGACGGCACTCGGTCAAAGAGTACGAGGTGCTCGTCGCCGGTGCCACTCGTGCTCGCCGGCCTTTGTGGGGCTCCGGGAAAGCGCTGGGCATGAGCGCGAATATGCAGAGGGGCATTTGCATGCGTTTTTCACGACCGATTTGCATGGCTCGGGCACAATGAGCGCGAAGCGGCGCGGAATCGCACTAAAACTGTCGACACGGTTTTAATTAATATTTAAATTAGGCGGCGATGGAGATGGGGGCGGCTGGGACGAGGATTGGGTAGTGAAGGCCGGGGTATTGGTTAAAACGCAAAAAATTCTATAGACACTAAATATTCAAATTCTCTTCAGTGCCGTGATATTAAAAGAGAATCGGCAATAAGTAAAGTGGTTTAAAAACGGCAAGAAGAGTGGCCTGTGTGTCTAGAGCCAATTTGAGAATTGCGCAACGGTGGCATTTTTTCCCTTGATCTTCATTCAGTTTCCCTGCTTCATACGAAAATTTGACGAAAAACAGACCTGATACTGAATTATATGATCTAAGAATAACATTCTCTGATAAAAGTCTCCAGCATCAATAACACTATCGACCGAAAATTTTCTGAACAATTAAAAATTTTTATATTTCATGCTGTTTTGCCTATTTTAAATTAAATTAAATTACTCTTCCAGAGAAATACAGAAAATAAATATAAAAAAATGCGATCAAAAATTTAGGAAAAACTTAGTAAAATCCATTCTTCATTTTATATTTGAAAAAAAAAAATAACGTAAACTCTTCTTTATTCCATTTTATTTCAAAAATACCATCAAAACATAACGAAAGTGCGCTCCGTGGTTTCCATCATCTCCAGGACGAGCTCTATTTATTGAATACATTAGAGAGATGTCCAACTTTATTTGTTTTATTTTTTTATTGCTTTTTGTACATTATTTTTTAATTTTTTTATTATTTATGGCAATTTGACAATTTCGTGCTTTAACTATTCTATTTTCAGAATTTTCAGGTTTAAGAATTGTTTTGCTGAAATATTCAGGTGGATTCTTTAAGATCGTTAGAACCACCAGATTATTGAATCCTGAAATTCCTAAAATCTTCAAAATATGAATACATTGAGCATGTTTTTAGAATATTTAGATTTTTCTTATTACCTAAAACTTTTAACAACTTCAGAATGATTAGAATATTTTGAAATGTTAAAATTGTTTGTGAAATCTTTGGAATCTGTAAAATCCCTAAAGTTTACTGAATTTCCAGTAGTTAAAATCTTTAGAATTTTTGAGATCTTTGGTACATCTAGGATCTCTTGAATTTTCAGGATCTATACGATTTTTAAGATCTTTGATTCTCTAGAATCTTTGAATTTTTTAATAACTTTATAGGCTTTACAACATTTAGAGTCGTTTTAATTTTCAGGATATGTAAGATTTTTGTAATGTTATAAATCTTTCAGGATTTCAGGATCCTTGTTTAAATATCTTCAGGAATTTTGAATTTTTTAATATCTTTAGAATCCGTAGGAAGTTTAGAATTCTTATAATCCTCAAGATCTTTGAAAAGTCTATCTATGATCTTGATCTTTAAGGTCTTTGGGGTCTTTTTCACATTTTGTGTATATCAAATATCGCTAGAATCATTAGAGTCTTTAAAACTTTACTTGACAATTTACAAGATCTTTTGGATCTTTACTATCTTCTCATGCTTTTTAGGAGCTTAAAATGTTCAGGATATTTCTAGGATCTTTCAATCTTTAGAATCTTCGAATACTTTCATAACCTTGTAGATTTTAAAACCTTTAAAGTTGTTTTAATCTTTAGTATCTTTACGAATTTTATGATTTTTTAAGATTTTGAGTTTTTGAAATCTTTGTCATTTAATTATCTTCATTTGATATTGTTAATATCTTTACAGTCTCTAGTTTTCAGGTTTCTTATTAGTGTCTACAAAAGTTTACTTTAGAATTTACAAGATTTTCAGGCTTTTTAATAGTTTAAAATCTTGAGGATATTTTTAGGATCTTTCAATCTTTAGAATTTTCGAATATTTTTATAACTTTATAGATTTTAAAATCTTTAAAGTCGTTTTAATCTTCAGTATCTTTAGGCTTTTTATGATTTTTTAAGATTTGGAGTTTTGGGAATCTATGCGATTTATATATCTTTATTTGATATTGTTAATATCTTTAGAATCTCTAGGATATCTAGGATCTTCATTATCTTCAATATCTTTAAAAGATATATTTAGAATCTATAAGGTCTCTAGAGTCTTTAAGATCTTTAGCCTATCAAGCAACTCCAAAATTAAGATTATTTTTATTTAGATAATTATCTTAAGATATTTTCAAGGCTTTTTATTAGAATTTTTAAGAAGCCTAGAATTTTCAAGATAATTAAAAGATCTATCTAGGATCCATAAGGTCTTTAGGGTCTTTAGAATCTTTGGTATATCAAGTGTACCTAGAATCTTCAGGAATTATATGATTTCTAAGATTCAGGAATCTTTTATATTTTTGGCAAATTTAAGATCCTGTGAAAGTTTCTTTGTATGGTTTTTAAGAGTTTATTTTAGAATTTTCAGGGTCATTCGAGTATTTAGTATCTTCTTAGGTTTTTAAGGTCTTAAAATGTTTAAAATTCTTCCAGGATCTTTGAATATTAAGAATTTTCGAATTTTTTCATAACTTTTTAGATATAAGAACCTTTAAAGCCGTTTTAATCTTTAGAATCTTCAGGATTTTTATGATATTTTAAGATTTGAAGTTCTTGGAATCTTCGTGATTTAAATATCTACATTTGATATTGTCCATATCTTTAGAATCTTCAGGATTTCTAGGATCTTCATTATCTTCAAGATCTTTGAAAGATCTATTTAGGGTTTGTAAGATCTTTACGATCTTTAGAATATTTAGTATATCAAATAATTCTAAATTCTTCGAAATCTTTACGATTTCAAGAATGCAGGAATCTTTTATATTTTTGGGAATTTTAAGATTCTCTCAAGGTTTTATATCAGGATTTTTAAGACTATATTTTACGAGTTGCAGGATTTTTCGGATCTTTACTACCTTTTCAGGCTTTTTAGGAACCTAGAATCTTCAAGATAATTAAAAGATATATCTAGGATCTATAAGGTCTTTAGGGTCATTAAAATCTTTGGTATATCAAGTGCACCTAGAATCTTCACGAATTTTATGATTTCTAAGCTTCAGGAATCTTTTATATTTTTGGTAACTTTAAGATCCTGCGAAAGTTTCTTCTTATGGTTTTTAAGAATTTATTTTAGAATTTTCAGGGTCTTTCGAGTATTTGCTATCTTCTTAGGTTTTTAAAGTCTTAAAATGTTTAGAATAGTTCCAGGATCTTTGAATCTGTAGAATTTTCGATTCTTTCATAACTTTATAGATTCAAGAACCTTTGAAACCGTTTCAATCTTTAAAATCTTTGGGACTTTTATGATATTTTAAGATCTGAAGTTCTTGGAATCTTCGTCATTTAAATAACTACATTTGATATTGTCAGTATCTTTAGAATCTTTAGGATGTCTAGGATCTTCATTATCTTCGAGATCTTTAAAAGACCTATTTAGGATTGGTAAGGTCTTTACAGTCTTTAAAATATTTAGTATATCAAATAATTCTAGATTCTTCAGAATTTTTACGATTTCAAGAATGCAGGAATCTTTTTTATTTTTGGGAATTTTAAGATATTTTTGGGGTTTTGTATTAGGATTTTTAAAACTACATTTTACGATTTGCAGAATTTTTCGTATCTTTACTATCTTTTCAGGCTTTTTAGGAGCCTAGAATCTTCAAGATAATTAAAAGATATATCTAGGATCTATAAGGTCTTTAGAATCTTTGGTATATAAAGTTTAACACGAATTCTATGATTTCTAAGATTCAGGAATCTTTTATATTTTTGGAAACTTTAAGATCCTGTGAAAGTTTCTTCTTATGATTTTTAATAGTGTATTTTAGAATTTTCAGAATCTTTTGAGTCTTAACTATCTTCTTAGGTCTTTAAAGGTCTTAAAATCTTTAGAATGCTTTCAGGATCTTTGAATTTTTAGAATTTTCGAATTCTTTCATAACTTTATAGATTTAAGAACTTTAAGTCGTTTTAATCTTTAGAATCTTTAGAATTTTTATGATATTTTAAGTTTTTGGAATCTTTGTGATTTAAATATCTACATTTATAAATATCTTAAAATCTTTAGGATGTTTAGGATCTTCATTATCTTCGAAATCTTTAAAAGACCTATTTAGGATTGGTAAGGTCTTTACAGTCTTTAGAATCTTTAGTATATCAAATAACTCTCGGATTATTCAGAATTCTTACGATTTCAAGAATGTAAGAATCTTTCCTATTTTTGGGAACTTTAAGATGGTTTAAGGATTTCTTATTAGGATTTTTAACAGTATATTTTACGATTTACAGGACCTTTCGGATCTTCACTATCTTCTTAGGCTTTTTAGGAGCCTAGAATATTCAGGATAATTCCAGAATCTGTCGATAGACTTCAGGAATTTTAGAGACGTTTTAATTTTTAGGATCTTTAGAATTTTTAAGATTTTTAACGTTGTTGTGATTTATAAATCTTTGAGGTTTTTGGAATCTTTGTGGTTTAAATATCTTCAGGGTTTTCGATATTTGGTAATATCTTTAGAATCTTTAGGATGTCCAGGATTTTTAAGATCTTTAAAAGATCTATTTAGGATCCATAAAGTCTTTAGGGTTTTTAGAATCTTTGGTATTTCAAATATGTCTGGAATCTTCACGATTTCTATGATTTCTAAGATCCATAAATCTTTTATATTTTTGGCAACTTTAAGATGCTTTTAAGGTTTCTTGTTTGGTTTTTAAGAGTTTATTTTAGAATTTTTTCCATCTCAGGCTTTTTAAGAGCTTAAAATCTTTAGGATATTTTC